CGTTATGCTATTTGTTCGTAGTCTTGTGCAAAATGGGACGTTTGTATTTTTTTTTCGCGCAGATGACAGTACAGGGAAAGCTCTCAGCGAGAAGATGAAAGTGATATGTGTGCGCGGTTTGTTTTAACTTTAAATTGCTCTGCTGACGTTACACTGACGTCACTGATATTACAATTGTTTACTAACAAATGGCAAACAAAAAAACTACAAAAAATGCCCTGTCACCGGGAGTCGAAGCAATCAATTTTTGCTCCGCAGGGTGCAGCGCGAAACCACTTGACTCCAAACTGTACGTTCGTAGCAGTACAAGTGGTGAGCTATTTATTTGCTGTCGTTCCTACTCAGAGCTCAGTGATTTGAGCGTGTTCTCGTTATTGCCAGCGAGATTGTGCAAAGGGTACAAGGATGCGTCTTAATAATGGTCGCCTATGCACGAACTTACCATAGCAGCTTTTAGGCTTTTGCCGCTTTTTACAGCCAGGTCAATTATCTTCATGTTAAACCTTCTCATGTCGGCTACTTTGCGCCTATTGATTAACTTCGAAAGCTTTACTAGCTCTATATTGTCAGTTGCATTCGAGGCTTTTATGATTTGCCATCTCTTAATCGAATTTTTTGTTTCCTGAGATATTTTTCCAGTGTCCTCTCTAGTAAATGTACATCCAACTTACATATAACAATTGTTGATGACACTAGTAAGATTATCATTCATTGTGTGAACGCTTACCTTGGTTACCTATTTTAGAGCCTCGAATGTGTTCCTGAACCGAAACTCTCAAACCCTGTGCTTTCCCTCTGAAGTACAACAAACGATGATTGGTCATGTACAGGTGACAGAGTGCCTGACAAATTCGCGCATTGTATACAAATAGCATTGTGAGATGCGTTATATTTCGGCAATAAACACAGCCTCATTTGCGAGTGTATGTTGTTGCGAAGGTAGAAGGTTGGTTTGTCGACTTTTTTACGTGCGAGCGAAGTATAAGACCAGACTACAACAGTACATAAGTGCTGGCAAAGAAGAATGCATCACGTCCGCATTGTGTGCCGAGGAGCTTCATTGTATTTGGAATAAGTGACTCATTTCCCGCGAAGGCGCTTCGCCCCGCCAACGACGCGTTCTAGCTGCAACCGGCCATCAAGGGGCCTCTTTGCTCGCACGCACAAATTGCTAGCTGCGGGAAATGGAGGAACGCCTCGCGAGAAAATCCGGGAGGTTGTCATTGGGCCAGTGAGCCACTGCCTTCCCAATTTCATCTGCCCCGTCCCGTGCTGTGGCTAGACGTTTCCGGTTCTCGAGCTAACGTCCACAGTCGCGTTCTCTTTGAGCACTCTGCAGCAGTGCGGCACTCTTTCAGTTGAGCTTTGCCAGAATAGAAGAGCCTTCCACATAGGCCGGGTAATGAGGAACGATGACGTTGTCAGCTCTAAATAAGTTAAGGGGAAGTCTACGTTGCTGGAACTGAGTGCGCGTTGTACTTCTCACGTACTAACTAGACGGCCAATCTTAGTGTGCGTGCCATATTTGTGTACCATCTACTTGCTACGGATGCCTCGCAATTACATTTTTGAGCTCAGAACGCCAAACAAAGTTTTTTCTTTTTAACTTGCTACTCAGTGCACAAGGAACAATACTTTTGTAATGTCAGCGAAAGAGCTTTTTGAGAGAAACACACCACGCCATTCTGCCATGTTAAGCGTCATTTCTTTTCTAAACTGAAAGATAATTAGTGCAAAAAAAAGAAAATGTAGCCCTAAGAGACGAGCACTATGTCAGAGGGCCGCCAACAGCGTTATTCCGTGTTCCCGTGCATCCTCATTTTCACTCGGTCTTGCAGTGTATTGGTCGTACTGCAATCTATTTTAGTCCTATAGTTATTGCTTACGCGACACTGAAGGAAACTAAAACTTGGTGTTGAGAAGCGGTGCACTCTTTAGACTACGTTCCCTTTAACTCGCTGAAACAATATAAGTTCTATTTTGGGACTGTCGTAACAGCCTGGACATCCCATTCCAACCCTTTACATAACAAAGTTCTAATCACAGAAAATTTTTCGTTTAAAAAGTTCAGCCCCGACGGCTAACTTGATTTGTCGCCTGTTTTCGCGGTCTCCACAAAGACGTCGCTTTTTTTTAATCAGGCTGTTGTCTAGTATTCTCTCCCACTTGCTTGTCATCCCGTCATTAAGAAAGCGACGTTTTCTCGGATGCTGCGCTTTTAAACATCCGCCGTTAGTAGAGTTTGTGACGCCCACTATGCTTTAGGAAGTATTCAAAAAGAACACACACTCAAGTCCAGAGGGAAGACTGATCTTTTGTCTGCGCTTTCGTTAAAGCATGTGCTTTGACCAAAGTAACTGAAGTAACCGAGTGTCTTATCAGTGGGTTGAGGAATGTCTGTGAAGTAGTATACGGCTGCTGCAAAAGACGGGTGATGATGGTGCTACTCGAAAGTTATGGAAGAGCTCTCAATAGCGCGTGTCTAGAACACTTAGTCCCTTCGTGGGAAAAAAAGTTGCGAGTTCTCCAGTACATTTCGGTACTTTATTTTTCACCCACTGTTTGGTGGCATGTCGTCAACAGTATCGCTGATGGCGTTCACTTTTTTGTATAGGGGCTCCGAACTTTCTTCTCTCTTCTATCATCACGCTTTCTCAAACTCATAGCCGGCACCACTTTTTCTTGCTTTCCTTGCCGCCCAACCAACGGTATAGTATAGGAAGTGAGTCATCAAGCAGTCAGTTGCTCGCCTCCTCTATTTAGTGGTGTCACAGCATCAAGAAAGACATCTGCGAGTGATCGCTCTCATTTGGCCCGACGGGTTCTCCTCCAGCAAAAAGCCCACCACTGAAGCTCACTATGATGAGCTGTCTTTGACCTCAATACAACCACCCTAAACGTGCGCTTCTCCCCTTTTAGTGAGCACACCACCCAATCTCTTTCTCTTGCGTATCACGTACTTTCGCCCTTTCTTCCACATGCCTATTCCTGTCTTTTACTTTCAGTAAACTCCAAGTTCACTCCCACTTTACTCCCCATTCAATGCCATTTTGTTTCGCTCCTTGCTCTGTTACCTCTCTGATTTCTATTTTATACCTCGCCACGTCGAGTTAACTCCCAATAAGACCCTATTTTGCGGCCCTTTTGACTGTGTCACATCCCTGCGCGCTCCTTCCGAAAGATGGAAATGCTCCCTCGATGCGACTCCATGCCCCAGCACCAGCCCGTGCACCATCACCACTTCTTCCTGTCTTAATATACTGATGAACAGTCCCCAATGGGTCCTCAACCATCGCGTTTGGATCGAGAGCGTTTGTACGCCAGCCGATGTTATCGGTTCTCAAAGAAGCTGGCCAGTTAAGGAGGTGGCAGTGTATTCTTCATCGTCGCTACCGCACCCTCCACTTGCTTCAGCGATGCGGAATCGTGATTATCTTCAGCCTCTCTAAATTCTACCATTAGAGCCCATGTGGGAGGTATTAAGGCTTTTCCCGGCGTGAATCATGCAGCTCAGAGGTCTCTAATTGGGTTTTGCAGCCAAGTGCTGACGACTTCCTCCTTGCTAGCACCGGGTGTGTGCTTCGCCAGCTTGAAAACCGAACAGACGGCCACCGAGTGTGGCTCACTCCACACTCGGTGCGACGTCTAATGCCTTACATTTAACGCTTATCTGGTTTCGTTTCAGTAATTTGATTATACTCCGGAAGGGTGCTTTCTTGCGAGCCTTGATTTGCTGAATGTGGAATTATGAAAATTCAGAGTGGGGGCGAACTTCATAAATTTAAGTTCGTGTAGTACTACGCTGTTGTGAACCATGGTGAATAGTCAACTGTGGTTTGAGAATCAGTGTTGACATTCACCTGTAGTACGTGATTTTCCGGCTTATACAAGGAGAAGAAAAAAAATTACACAAACTCCCGCTGAAGGAAACTATGTGTACATGCGAAGCAGTTGGCGCTAACGCTTACAATAGCGGCGGCGTTGCGCTGGAGAGAAACGCAGGGAGGCTCAAAGCACATAGTGATAGAACAGAGTTTCTTACTCGAACATGCCAATTACTTCTAATGGGCAGTGTAAGAAAGAAGGCTCCAATGGAACATGGAGAACCGCAGTTCATTTTTAGTTAATGCGCACGTTGCGAATTCTTCATTGTTCAACAACGCACAGGATAAATCTCACACCGACACTACCTTGGAGGTCTAGATCCAGTCTCTATATATACGGGGTGGTCAGTGAACGGTTGTGGAGTGCGAGCAGTCAGTTTTCTTTTTTTTTTTTCAATCAAGAAACTCGCAAGCAGAGGCTGCCTGCGTCGGCATTACGAGGAAAAAGAGTGGGGAGCATAAACGCAGCAGGATTAAATGCCTTGAGGAGAGGGGGGAAGCGAGCGTAGTTACCAGGCGGGCACACACTCTGCCTCGGCATTCCGAGGCGTAGGAGGGCGCACCGTTGGGGAGGAGAGCGAGGTTAGGAGACACGCATGCGCTGTAAAGGTGGTCACGCCGCACACCAGAGTGAGCTCGATCCTAAGCTGCTTCGCATCTAAAAAACATACTTTTGAACGCAAGCGCCATTAACTTGGCGTTACAGGAATTCCACGAGAGCACTGCAAGGATACGCAACACCAGAACTAGACTGTGTAATTTTGAATAGTTTTGCGTCACTGTTGAACTCGCGTTCCCTGTTTTTCACTACTGTTGGATGGCATTGACTACTGTTAGTTAATGTCGTCTATAGATAGCATAAGCATTTCATGTCAGCACACCCGCAACATTTACTCGCACGAAAGTAAAACACACTTTTGTTTTGGAGTCGCCACTTATGAAATGATGTTAGTGTGGGTTACTACTGAATGAGCATGTGTCTTTTTTGTATATGTGATTGCGTTCTCTAATGTCTTTCCTGGCACTGTTCTGATACTCCTGAAAGTCTACGTAGAAAGAACCGCATGCCAGCTCACGAGCTCGAACAAAGTTTAGGCATGCAGAGTTTTGATTTACCTGAGTTTATTCCCGGCTTAATGACGTTGCCGCTGGGCTCTTCAATCCACGACGTCACGGTGACGTAGTCAGTGACGTATCCCGGCACTTGACACCTCATTACTGCTGTATTGCCGGAGATGACGAATTCGTCGTACACTTCGGCCGCGTACTTTTGGCGCACCACTGGAAAAGAAATGAAAGGACAGAGTTTATGCGTATGCCTCTTGTCAGATGCCTTTATTTTCAGCTGTCAGAAACGAAATAAGGGGGGTGGGGGTGGAATGAAAGCACTACATGGAGGCAATCAAAGTATGACTGCAATCAAAGTATGAATACATGGCTTAATTCAATGAATGTGAATGTCGAATTGGCTTGTAATGAGAAATCCTATTCATTGGCCAAGCTCCAGTGCAAAGTCATTGCGTTTTCAGTTCGGTGTTGAAGGCGTGTTTGTTTGTTTATTGCGATACATATATACCTTAATTTAAGCATAGGTTGATGTTGCGCAATGTTCCCTTCACCCCACCCCCCAAAAAGATTAAGTGGTCCGAGAAAAACGAGGTGTCAAATTTACGCCACTACAACTCCACAATAATAGTATTTCACAGTGTGACCTGCTTTAGTAAGTACCCCGAGTGAAATGACGCCTGAAACAGCGTGAATTTGAAGCAAGGAATTCGCGAGTGAAACATTTGAACCCTGCCGTATTGTTTGCAAAAATCACTTGTGACTAGAAGTTTAGATTAAGGTTGTCGTAAGTTTAAATGGGTTGTAGTATGCGTTGAATATCTGAATAGGTCTAGCCAGTGTTTAGTTAAAATGAATCGGCTCTCGAAGCCTGTTTCTAACCATAAGATTAGGATCGCCATCAACAACATCCCAATCATATCCAGATCACCCCTACTATCATCATAATACAACCGCGTTCATCATCACGACTTGAAGAATAGATCAGTTATAGGACAGATTCCGGCCTTTTATAAGGTTGGTAACAGAAAGCAAAATTGGTCAAAATATTTAGTCTAAAAAGAAACGAAAGTTTCAGTTAACAAAGCACTGTCGTTAAGTGTGTGCCTTCGAATGCAGCTTGAGGGGCTACTGAAATTTTAATTCTGTGATAGTGACAGTCGTGCGTCCACTATAATAAGTAAATCAACCAGTCGCGCTACACTTTCCGCACTGTTTAAAATTTTTGTGGGCTGCTGGCTCGAATTCATGACTCTTCTTATATTGCGGATACCACCCGTTTGTAATCGAGTTGATAAAAAAATTTGGGGGACACTTAACCTTCGCCTTTCAGAGTTGAACGTGATAGCAAAATCCGGCCCCTAGTGCACCCTTCAACCGCTAAGTGCATACTCACTCATATGTTTTGTTACATACACACGCACGCACAAAAACACGCACGCAAACACGCACACAGTAGATTCAACCAGCGCGCGCTACTATCGCCAAATGGGCTTGTTTTCGTCGTGGCACTTGTCGAACAAAACGTGTTAAAGGGACCCTGAAACACTTTTTCAAGTAACCATGGAATGAATTCACTAGAAGAGCTTATTGCTTCACGAATTCAATGCCGCAAAAGTTTCAAGAATCCGGCCAGTGCGAGTGGTTTTACAAAGGTTTCTCGCATGCTGCAATTCCAGTATTTCTTCTCTCTTCCCGACGAAAGCACTGAAAGCTAAGCAGTGAGGGATAGCTGGGCAAAGAAACTACCGCGCCTAGTGACCTTGAGCACTTTTTTTTTCTTCGAATGCGTGGCTTTTTCAGCGTGATCGCACGCGCACGCGTGGACAAGTAGCAGCCTCTCACGGCTATCTCGGTAACTTGATTGTTCGGTCACAGACGCACAGATGATTTTTCGCTCACAACCAACGGGGCCGATGCTGGCGGCGGGTTCTCTGCGACACGAGCTCTTTAACGCTATCGCGTTAAAAATGAACAAGGACTCCATGCTTCGAGGGTGCCACTTACACCAGGCGAAACACAGCTGATGTTTACACTGATGTTGCTAAACAAGTGAGACAAGAGGATACGGGACGAAAAAAATTGTTTGTGATATATTTTTACTACCAGCCACATTTTGTGCTCTAATTCTTCTACAATGCCTCCGGTCTGTAGAGCGCAGAAAATAAGTATTTATGCACAATCTTGTGTTTCGGTGTACGCCCCGTCAAGGAGGTGACCATGAGAACACCCAAACGTAGGCTGCTAAAGATAGATAGATAGATAGATAGATAGATAGATAGATAGATAGATAGATAGATAGATAGATAGATAGATAGATAGATAGATAGATAGATAGATAGATAGATAGATAGATAGATAGATAGATAGATAGATAGATAGATGCCAAAAGTGCTTGCTGTACGCAAAAAGTGCTTCACATTTCAAATCCATCAAAACTATTATCACCACACGCAAAACAGTTGCCATAACTTGCGATCCACATCACACAGATGGAACGAAACACACCCGTCACATTCAAGATTTCTGCATGATCAAACCAAAGCAAAGCTGGCGCGCAAACAAACAAGCAAACAAACAAACAAACAAACAAACAAACAGAAACAGGTAAGTCACGTACTGCATATTCTCTCTTTTTGCTCATTTTGCTTCGATTCGCGATATTCCTCGCGTACCGCTTTCCTCTAGGGTTTTTCTCGTAAGTACGGTGTAACGTGCGTGTCGGGACGCACGAAAAGGATACGGTAGAGTGGAGTGGGGGGGGGGGGGATTGGTTTTGGTCGATATGCATGCATTCCCCCGCAAATTTGCACGCGACTCAGTTTACGCAGTACTGGCGCATATACAAGGGACGCCAGCACGTATAAGGCAAAGAATAACGTGCATGAATCAAAAAGGGGCATCAAGCTCAAGGAAAATTAAAGCAAAACGGGACCCTGGTAGATGGTTGTGCTCTTGTGTGATAGCTCGAGGCTCCTCAAGATCGATTGCCGTTCTCATTTGTTTACAGAACACGGCGAGCCTTGCTCACGCGGAAATACGCTGGAGAGAAACGATAGATGGAAGCAGCAAAAGATGGCCGAAAAATAGAAGGTTCATGGTGGGAGGAAGCTGCGACACGCCTCTTTATTGTAGGCTTCTAAAAAGATAGAAAGAAAGAAAAAAAGAAAGAAAAAGAAAAGAGTATGATGAAAAGAAGAGAAGAAATAACACAGCAGAAACAAAGAAGAAACGTAGAAAGAATCAAAACGACAAAGCAGGAAAGAATAAAAGAAGCATAAATGATTTAAAATAGGTGTGAATGGCCATGGCCGTTCATTTCCCCCATGATTTTCATTGAAGTGCTTTCTGTTTGCTTCTCTCCGCGGTTTCAGCAAGGCTTCACAGGCCGGCGCATGCAGAAAAAATGCGAAAACACAAAAGGCGGTGAAGTTCGATAACGAGGAAAAGAACGCAGGAAGTGTCAATGGGTGCATACTTGAAGAAAAATATTAATATGAAAAAAAAAAAACGTGAGGGCGAAGACAAAGCGGCTGCGAACAAACGCCCGGGTGCCGAAGAAAACCTTCGCGCACAGCTGCAATAGTATTCGCGGCAACATTAAGCTGACGCTAGGCGCCTTCTTCTCCCGCACTCTCCACGCCAGGCCTGTTCACGTATGCGCATACGCATTCCGCTCAACGCATCTTCAGACGCCTTAGTTCGGCGCTTGCTGCCGCGATTTTCCGCCAACTTTTGCTCCCTGGATTACTCCCTCAAGCCTCTGTTTTCGCCAATACCTTCCCCCGAAAAACAACGGAAGTACGGGAGGACGTACAAGAGGGAAATACGCAGGCACGCATGCTAGCGCAAGCGCTGCGTGCCACAACCTCGGACCCTCTCACCACATTGAGTTGCGTGTGTGGCCCGCATTGTAAAAAAAAAGACATGAATGGCCAAACTAAAACTTCTCTTCAAAGGCGTGTCTAGTTTTAGAGATGGCAGCCGTGCAGCGGCAGCAGGATCTGCAGTCCTGCATACACATGTATACATATATATTTATGTGCGGCGGGTTTCGGCACCTTTTTCTTTGTCTAGCACTGCTTTTTTTCAATGCCTTTTTGTCTTATTTGTTGGCCACTTCCGCAAAAAAGAACTAGCAAGGGAATGGAAGCCTCAAAAATCAAGACTTAACAAGGCTCACTCATCGTCAGCTTTCTCCACGGAAAGAATCATTTCACACTGCGTTACGACTTCGATTGGCTTCTCCAGCTGCATTTCATAACGGGCCGCCAGCGGTCTACGAGTTAGGGAGCCTAGTATACCGAATGTATGTTCATGCGCTCGGACCATATTGAAGTAGGACTTAATGTGCGTGCGTGCGTGTATGTTTAGAAGGCGACGGGGTACAAGAGAGAGGTTTTTGGCTACAACGCGTTGCTGTGTTTGCGAACCGAGCATTTTCAAATGGCGCTGCTGGATGTGGGGAGAAGACGGCAGCTGGTGAGTTTGCCGCAGATAAGCTATAGCAGCGACGTATTCTTGCAAGCCTCTGAGGATATAAAAAAAAGCGAAATGTTTTGTGGCTGTTCTGATGTTGGCGTTGAGGGACGTCGCGGAATGTAATCTCTTTTATGCGTATGGTAAAGAACCGATACTCTGTACGCTCTTAGCTTTTTTTTTTTGAGTTTATAATCTTGTTTTCTTTTTTTTTTCTTGTTTTGACGGAAGCCATCACTGTACCGGCCATGGACTCGGACGCTGTATTTACGGCGCAGCCAGCGCAGCCGCAACGAGTCGTGATTCAAAATATCAGAATTGCATGGTTGTATTTTTGCGTAGGGACTATAAACTTTTTTCGCGACATCACGGACATCCATTGGTTGTATCTGGCCTATAGTCATTTACGGCCGACAGGTCACATTAAACTTGAAAGTATGTATAAAACTATTCTTCAGGTATGATTTTTTTGGGACTGAGGATTTGTAGTCCTGCAGTTGAATACATAAGGCAGGAACACGAAAAGAATGAAGAGCTAGTGACATTAAATTTGTAGAGTGTGGCAAAACGAAACTAAAATTAAAATCTACTTTGAATAAGATCTGAGGTAGAGGCCTGTACTGTATCTCATTTCTTCGATGCAGTCTTGAATCCTGGTCGCGATTCCTGCAGCGATGCGTCTCGTGGACGCAGCAGTAAATGTAGTTTTTTGTAAACAGGTTATTCGAGCGAGTAAA